GGTAGATTAGGACGATTTTTGCTTTGAGTACATACGCAGTACAATGCGACATTTTGGGCTAGAAATTTTAACTCTACTCGTAAGGGTTTTGCAGCTGAAAGCATTGTTCGGATAATAGACACCTCAATTTAGTGGTGACCAAAGTAGTCCAGCAATTGCTTTGATCGCTCTTCTATTCTCAACTTCATACCGTGACATCCAAACTGAAATCACATAAATAAGGCCGCGCATCAGACTTCGTTGGAGTTTCGCGACTACGCGATTTTCAAGCGTAGGCAAATTATGTGACCGAAAATGACGGGAAACCATAGCTGACTTTGCTGAATCTGTCGACGGGTAGCTCAGATTTTCGCCTAGATATGCACCTAGTGGATGGTTGGCTCTCGAGATTCAACTCTAGTTTGGTTTACTGGAAGAAAGTAAAAATAACTTGATGGACCCATCACTCATGGGCAGTTCATTGTTTACGAAAGAAGTGGCACTTATTCGTATAAGCTGCCTCCACTTTGGATTGGAAAATAAGTGACCAAATCTATCACTCTTCACTACCATGGCTGTCAAAATAGTGGTTTTTGGTTCGGTCGGCAGGTAAATCAACGATTATTGATCACGGATAATGATGAACAAGAGTTACAAGAAATACACTCATTTGCAAATCAATTTCCTCCAGCACTTCCAGTTGTAGAATATCAGTTGAGTCTTTCGTGAGAACCAAATTGATTTGCAAATGAGTGTATTTCTCGAAAACAGTCCAATTTGGGTTCAAGTAGATCATAAGGTTGACGAAAACTCGAGAACTGCGCCTACCTGACGATCCCTAAGAAGGGCGAAACCGGTCGTGGGCTGTCGAAAACTTTTCAGCAACCTTGTGAGTAGTTTCCTTTATGAAAGAGTGGCAAGAGTTCGAGTGAAACTCAAAGTTTGTTAGATCATACGTTGATTACGTCGATTAGTTCTTCTGTGTGGTCCAGGCATGGACACTTCGCGTCGATGTCTGTGGTCACAGATGGAGGGGCCGAATTACAGAGGGGAAAAGAATTACAGCCACAAGGACCTACACACCCTTGATTCCTGATCTGCCGCGACAAATATCCTCAGATATGTGACCTTTTTCAGGAAACATCAAGATATGACGACCAGTGCAGACACCAAAATACGCTTAGATGTTTATCCGATAAAACAGCAAGCTTACCGCTACGGTCGAAATGATTCTCCCCGATGACTCGGTCTGTTAGAATGAGGAAGGCTCGGTCACGACAATTCCAGATAAATCTATTCAGCATAAGGTATATTGATGGATAATGTGTCGTTCAAGCTCTGCATAAACCAAGTGGGTCAGCCTCGACAGAAAGTTATTAAGAAAGGAATTTTGACCAGAGACCTATGCAGTAGAGTAAAACAAACCTCCGTTGGACCGCCGGAGGAGGTTACACTCCGTTCTCGCTAAAACAAAGCGGAGAGCCATTGACGGGATCGCATGTGTCCGTAATCAGGTGAGACAAAGAAGCACGAACCATTGTACCTTGAAGAAGAGACGGTGCCGTTTGAATGGACACCGGGATAGAGCAGGAACGACAGGAGAAGAACATGTAGCAGGAAACTGCTGAACGCCTCGATAATCCTAGCCGGCCGCTACAAATGTCTTGCTCTAGCCCGTCATGGAAAGTGCGCACGGAGTGTTGAAAACTACCATCTCCTCAGCGAGCATAAATGCCATCTAATTTCTCATCGGCACGATGTTGAATGTCCGTGAGCTCGTTGTGGCGTTTGCTGCAAACGGAGATAGGCTTGGGTGTTAGTGGTAAGAATGATTAAGCGTTCTTTGGGAACTGTGCTAGGTCTGCGGACCTTAAAAACCGAAGGCTGGGCTAATTATTGCACGTCATTGACCCCTTGGTAAAGATATCTCTCAGCTTACGTCCAAACGATTCTAGGATGCGCTGCACATTCTTGGACTTATTGGCACCGAATGGAAAAGCAATCGTTCATAGCCACACCACTTTCGTTTGAAAGGCCGTGTTCCTGTTCTGGGCGTAATTATCCCGGTGAGTCCACACCAAAGGGAAGCACTGGACTCGAGTTTCGCCCCCTATTAGAGCTCGTCAGCAGTGCATATCCAATGGCCGTGCCGGGATTGGAACCCCGGACATCTGACATGCGAGGCGAGCGTGTAACCACCACTGCACCAGCGCACGTTGGACGCATCTGAATAATCACACGTGAGCAATGTGATTGGTGTGCCCGACTCATCGAACGAAACCAGTTGTTAGAATTTCAACAAATGACAGGAATACTAAGGAAGATTCGATGTCTGTGTAGATCCACCGACGAGCAGCGCTTGACGGCTGTCCATCTGTATTCCATACAGTATCAAGACGTAGAGGAATCACTCTCATGTATCAGCCATTGAGGTAACCTAGTTGCACCCACTCAAGGATGATGTCATCTCGATTGGTGATGAAACGCTTGCAATCAAACTGCCCAGCTCTGCGGACAATCGAACTTTCGGGTACGTTGTTTTACGGATGTCAAACTTTTCAGGCAAGCGTCACCGCCGGGATCAACAGCATCTTTTCATTTACGAATAAGTATACGAAACGAACAATCCATATGGGGTTCGGGTGCCTACTTTTGAAGAGAAAACATAGTCACTTCTTGTGATTAGATAACATGGACAAGCCACGAATTGCTAAGCTTTTGTCGGAATTGACTCAATGAAAAGAGCTTTTTTTCTACAAGCAGGCAGTTAATAAAATTTCAAGATTATCTATGTGCTTGATCCCACTCACGTAAATTTTGCAGTCTCGGAACTAACTGTTACCGTTGTTTAGAAGCAGACTGCCAGTCTTCCACGTTGGCCGTTATGAAAAGCTTTCTTGACCCTTCATTTTGCGGGTTGTGGAGGCTCTGATCATTCGATTCATCCTGCAAGACACCAGATTAGAACAGATAGCGTCAACCTTCACACCACTTACCTCATCGGCTGCTTCATATAAAAGTGTTCAAAATCACTCGGAACCACTACTCATGAGTAGTACGTGGGACTTAGCTCGAACTACGCCCGTTGCGTCGGTACAGCAATGCAAATGTAATCCAGAAAAAGTATTCAAACGCACACCTCAAAGGTGACAGGAGTTGTCGGCAAGATCCAAAACGTGCTTGATCATAGGTTGCTTTGGGGACTGTCAGATATTTGGTTGAAATGGAGATATCCGGAAATCAATATATACTTTGTAGAATACTTCGTAAAAAATTTGGAACGTCTGAACTCGTTTTTCAAATTTCTCTATTGAAGCTCCTGTTGCCTGAAATCAAACTGCAATATGAGGGGCTGCTTCAACTGATGCCTGAAGGAAGACAATGCTATGTTTCTTTTTCGCTTTCTAAGATTGTTTTCCTTGAAGACTTTCATACCGAAGCACCCGTAGTACAGCAACAAATGTCCATTCTGTTTTCGGAACACCGACTGTGTTTGTAAGTGTTTGAAACTGCTAAAAATGGTGACTTCCGCACAAAAGTGACTGGGTAAACCAGTCTTGCAAACCCAAGCATCTAGAAACAGACGACACCCTTACGCAATTCTTCAAGCTGAACTGAGTTAAGACCAAGTGTGTCGACCCCCTACCCAAATTTGTCAATGCTGATGATGACCACGATATCAATCCTATCTTGAAAAGTACCAGTCGCTAGTGACTAGGGTTTGAAGTTCTCTTTAGTTCTTGAGAAATACACTAATTTGCAAATCAATTTGGTTTTCACGAGGGACTCAGCAGACCCTCCCGTTTATGATATTCTACGACTAAATGTGCTGCACACAGGCCGCCTCATTTTCCGGTTGGCACGATATTCGAGATATCGCTGTGTGTTTTCATAAAGGAAACTACTCACAAGGTTGCTGAAAACTCTTTGATAGCCCACCACCGGTTTCGCCCTTCCGCTTGGGTTCCATCAGGTAGGCGCAGTCCCCGTCAAACTTATGTCCTACTTAAACCTGAAGCATGAGGCGGCCTGTGTGCAACACATTCAGTTGTAGAATATTATAAACGAAAGATTCAGTGGAGTCTCGCGTGAAAACCGNCGTGAAAACCGAATCGATTTGCAAATGAATGTACTTCTCAAAAACAAGTCCAGTCTGGGTTCAAGTAGAACATAAAGTTGACGGAAACTCGGGGACTGCGCCTATCTGATGAGGCCCAAGAAGGGCGAAACCGGTCGTGGGCTGTCGAAGTTTTTAGCAACCTTGTGAGTAGTTCTCTTTGGAGTGCAGGTTCTATTCGGTGCTTGTCTAATCACCTGTTTTCATATTTTGCCATTTCCACGAAAATATCTCTGATGTGTCCATTGCTGTTTTGTGGAATGGTTCTGCCAAACCAAATCCATGTTTACAGCATTGTAGTGACGTCCAAAATGTTCTTCTTTCTGACCGTGCATTGTGAATCAAGGTTTTGCGAGTGTTGTCTCACTTTGGCAGGCCTCATCGAACCACGTGACGGAAAGTTCCTCATATTTCAGGAGTTTGGTTGTTCTGTATGTCCACCGGAGGACTACACTTTTACGTTGTGATGTGTTTACGTACTTTGTCTGTGAAAACTTGTGATACTAAATAAGTCGATCACATGACGAATAAAATAGTGTGAAAAGAATAAGGTGGCGAGAAGTCCAGGCAAATTAGCAACCAGCCCGATAACCGACCAGTCACTTAGGAAGATTTTGGATCACAGACTATTATGGATAAAACTGAGCGCAATCTGTGTAACGTACTACTCATAAGGTTGTTGAAAATCCGTCGACAGCCCACGACCGGTTTCGCCCTTCTTGGGCCTCATCAGATAGGCGCAGTCCCCGAGTTTCCGTCAACTTTATGTTCTACTTGAAACCAGACTGGACTTGTTTTTGAGAAGTACATTCATTTGCAAATCAATTCGGTTTTCACGCGAGACTCCACTTAATCTCTCGTTTATAATATTCTACAACTGAATGTGTTGCACACAGGCCGCCTCATGATTCAGTTGGCACGATATTCGAAACATCACAACGAGAGATTCAGCTGGGTTCCAGGTGAGTCTCTCACTGAATCAAATTTTTTTGCAACTGAGTGTATATTCGCTAAGCGGAATCTTATTTACTAGATCTTGAATCGTCACTTCCACCTGGTAACTATACATTATTCCTGCATCCCCTCCATTTCTTTTCCATTTTTTTCGCTTTTTGCATTTACTCGTCTCCGGAAAACTGACACATCCTTTTCGCAGTGAATTTGCTCCAAGTTTCATCATCCAGTTAGTTCCTTGAACCATCAGTCGCAACCCAGCCGCATCTGATGGAACTTGATTTTTCCACATAGTTTTCTGAGTCATTTTGAACTGCTCACGCAATTGACTGGATCGTGATACACGGGCTTCGATACATTCAGTTTGTATAGCAACTAGATAGCGGTCCATGCGAACAGACGCGCGGAAAAACAACTGGCTGGTTCACGGAACATTATCAGTTCGACTGGCTGAACCATCGTTCTTCCAACTTTAGTCTGACAGTCGATAAGGCCATTCGCATACCAGTTCGTAAATTTTCAATCTCCTACTGTATAGTCTGGTTGACGGCAAGTTCTCTGGAGTGGGAGGATTTTCGATGATCGTCTGCTGATCTTCTGCACGCTGACGAATAAACTCATTGATCATCTTCGCGCTCCACTTATCATAGTTTCCTTATTCGATGGTCTGCCAGTCATCAAATCGTTATTTTGTCTGCACGAAGAAAGCGTGCGCTGTGCGGAACGCTGACAGGTGCACGTCCAGGCTTTTGTTCTGACCTGCCAGCTTCTTCCTCCTGTCGGTTCTCCGATACATCAGAAGTTTTCACCGTCCACAGAGATTCTTGACGTTACTTTGCTTCGTAGATGGAACCTTACCGTTGTTTTTTCAGGCCCCTCATCAATACACCCAACAGCTTGCATTTCGCCCCCGATATCTCCCACCGACAGTGTAGTTTCGTATACGAATTTGTCTACCACTCCCATTATGTCACGCCGACGCCCTCACTGCTTGCCACACTCGTTACCGCCTTTGTTTCGGTTTTGCGTAGGTGTCTAGCCTTGCTTCTCATTTTGTTGAATACTTACTGTCTTCCAGGAAGCTAAAATTTCGCCCTCTATATACATTTCCTTTCGCCTAGACTCATTTTGACGTGCATTTACTTTTTTGCTTTCATTCGATTACCGTAATTACCTTCCTGCTATTGTTTTGCTCGTAGTTGCAACCACCGTCCTCCACTACTGTATGATTGTTACTCGGTCTTAATGGACATTGACGCCTGCCACGATCTTCCAGACGCGATGTGGAAGGAATTAGGTGGCGTTATTGGTCACCGTACGCTTAACGTGGTCGTACCACCACCCCCTCTCATTCCAAGAGCAGTGCATGGTCACAGGTGTGTAGTTGTGGCTTCCATCAGTTTGATGTCCTAGTCGATTACTTAGTGTTCATTACCAGTGTAACGGAGATACTACTGATGGGGAGACATGCGAGTAGTATGTGTCGTTCTTGGAATCTCGCTTTGCGTCTCTTGAAAGGGGAGATCTGTTGCGGAATTTGTGGAGTCGCTTTGTAACATTTGCTTGGATTTGAGCAATGAATGATTGGAGTCAATGAATATCTAGGAAAGTTCAAGACGACGCGTTCAGGAGGAGATGGATATCCAGTTTTTGTAAATAAGATGTAAATGAGAGTTTTGCTTCCCTGTCGAATAGTCTGTAACCGGTCAGTTGGCATTTTCTAATAAATAACTCCGCAGCGAAGGCCTTCTTCCTTTCACCAGTGATACATGGAAAAGGATTAATTTTCTGTTGGGGAACCATTTTTGTCGTAAACTCAAGTGATTTGACGCATGAACCTCTTCTGACCATCACCGAGAATCTGAATGTCCTTGAAACCGAACGAACAGCCAATTGGATGCTGTAATTTTGGGAGTCGGCTAGACTCATCGTAATGGATTCACAAAGGGAGCATCGCGTTCATCAGCACAGTCGTGGGGAAATCAGGGAGATCAATAAGTACATTTACTCATACAAAGTTCGTCAGACGATTGCTTACGGATGGAACGATTCAAATACAACACCGATCAACAATCTGATAACTAATTCATTTCAGAAGAAGAGCAATCTCCTATACGACCAAATCGAATTTATGGGGGGATTCAATTACGTTCCTAATTCACTGGAAATATCCACTTCGGAGCGAGCTGAAAACAAAGACGTCACTGAAAATCCACCAAGATGGACCGGTTTCATTGAAGGTTTCTATTGAAGGATACGAACCACCCGTTTTCAACCAGCTCTTTCTTTCGTGAAACTAGCAGTAAGATGAGGAGGTGTATTCTTACTGCTCCCAGCAATTCTTTATTTTTTTGAAAATGATCTAAATGGAAAGCAGTCTTTCTACGAAATGACCTAAACTGAGGAGCATCTGTCTGGTGGAAACGAAGGTGAGTAGCAGAGTAACTAGGAACACTCAGCCAATGCTTTCCCGCCTTCATGTTTGAAACGCTACTCTTCCAGGATAATGTGATATGCTGCTCAAATCGTAGATTTTAGTGATAAAACCTTGTTCGTTTGTGTATAGCAAAGCTTAAAAACAGACTATAGAGGTTTCAGATCGTCTTGGTAAACAATCAGTGGATTTATTGCTGGGCAACATTTCACTCTTGACACAAAAGCTTCGTCAGGCCACGTGACTAGGTTACGAGGCTGGTCAGGTTTTAAGGCAGTCAGGGAACCCGATCAGCCTGCTTACTTACTCACTTGGCCTGACGAAGCTTTTATGTCAAAAGCGAGACGTTGCCCAGCAATAAGTCCACCGATTGTGTGCCAAACTTCTCCTAAACGATGACCACTCAATCGGTTACAAGCATTTTCCATTTAATCGAAGACTTCAGAGGCATTGAAATGCTTCCATACGGATCGCTGTTAGTCTTTTGATTTCATATCAGAACTCCGAAACATCGAGACTTCTGAGCAACTACGCCTGCTTGCTTTAATTCGATTTTTTGATATGTTGTTTACATTAACGCTTATTCAAGAGCACAACCACCAACCCACCGCTACACATCACTGCGCTTTCCAGTAACGCACTGATAATGTCACCTCGATTGGTGATGAAACGTCTGCAATCGAATTGCCCAGCTAAGCGAACAAGCCAACGACCATCCAAGAGCAAATTCTGGTGTTTGAAGTAAGCCGCACTGATGGTTTCGTCGAACGTTGAACCGTTCACAGAGGCTGTTTCCTGGTCCCCTCCAAAGTTTACTCAAGACGAATAACACGGAAGCCTTATTTTGGATGTGAGAGAGTTCCGGTAGAAACGAAAGAATACAAATCAACCAGGGGACTTAGCATAAAAGCCGAGGACAGATTTAGTCAGTCTAAACAATACTTGCAAACTCAAGAAATTCGAAGGTAAATGAATTCGACGGGAAACAAGTAAATAACTTGATGAAAGACAGAAGTGACTTTTTCATCGGGTAGTGTGTGAATACAATACTTGAGTCGGGTCAGTGATACTACCAGCAAACTGGCAACGATCTTATAGTTGCGTGTTACTATTTAGCATTCCTGGTTGAAAGAACTGTTGGAATGGAATGTCTTGAATTCAGTAGGTCCTCTGCCATCTGATCCTGAACGTCTGAGGGCTATAATGCCTGCTTTCCTGTCTTCAGCATCAGTGAAGTCTACATACTTTTAACCAAGATACTAGACAAGTTAATCAAATGGATAAACCGTCAACTTGGTTCGTTGGCTGAAGCCGATCGATTGAAAAGCTGTCGAGTAAGCATGGCGATCATGAAACTGCTAAAATGGTGCCAGTGAGAAGTACTCATTCTACATATTTTGTCTATGCGGTCGTTCCACACACAGTTTAAAAGTTATTTGAAGTTTGACCTATAAATCTGTATGAAAATTTGACCTCCTTGGTAACAAGTACTCTGTTTCTGTGTGGTCATTTTGCAGAATTTTCAAGATTCTTGTAAACGTGCAGAAACTACAGAGCTTTGCCCTTGTTCGTCGACACCACATGCTTGCATTCAAAATAGGATAGATTTTGAAATTTCCTTGACTGTTCATCTAATTTATCAATATTAGTTGCTAAGATCTTAGATTCCAAGACAAGCTTCCCATCAAAATATCTTTGTAATGTGCTACTCATAAGGTTGCTGAAAATCCGTCGACAGCCCACGACCGGTTTCACCCTTCCACTTGGGGCTCATCAGGTAGGCCCAGTCCCCGAGTTTCCGTCAACCTTATGTTCTACTTGAAACCAAATTGCACGAAATTAGCGAATATACACTCATTTTCAAACTAAGTTGGTTTTTCGAGAGACTCACCTGGAACTCAGCTGAATCTTTCGTTTGTGATGTTTTCAGGTAACAGAAAAAAATTCTCATTTTTTGGCTACAGGAGTAGAAACAATCAGGTGTTCGTTCGAGCAAGGTTTTTCGGGTTCGAATTAACCATGCGTACATTACCACATGCCCTGAAAACGGGAAAGTCTGTCCATGAAAACTGCGTTTTGTGAAGGCTGTTGATTGACCTGAAATGACCTCTCCCGGTCTATGCGATTCCAGCGGCGATAATTATTCGTGTAAACGGATTTTCGGAAGGTTTGGAGATAGAAATCAACCTGCACGATCGATCAACCACATCGAATGCACCGCTGTCTAGATGAATCGATCTTATCACGCACTCCAGATGGGACGGAATTTCCGAACATTTGATGGGTGGAGGCACACGTTGATCGGCGAAGTGTGGACCCTGCTGAGTAGTCGCATGACTGGTAATCAGAAGAGGAACTGGTCGCAGTGGGTTCAAAACAGTCAGCCTTCTAGAAGGCCAACATTTGAGAAGAAACTATTCGGAGGCAAAATCACCCTCCCAATAGAAAACGAACGTTTGACATCACCAGATTGCTTAAATCGGTAAAGAGGGGTGGCATGGAAAAAATGGGACTTAGTGAGGTGGGCATCGTAAACGGTCAGTGTCTGCATTGGGTTTAAACAGTGCCTGTATAAAATTTGACGATCGGTAGTGAACAGACTCTTTTATGGTAAGTACTTTGAGGCTGTTAAAAGTACGTTTCCAAACCGTTTATGTATGCAGTCAAGAAAAAAGCAGTTCATCTGGTGACTTTGTGTGATGCAGTGAACCATCTGTTTTCCACACGGTGATTTTGCGCGGGGCGACTAACGGTGTGATGGTTCGACTGATTGATCGGGTGAATCGATCATATTTTCGACCAGCTGATCGCAGTGGGCAAATGCGTGCAGCACGCAGTACGGTAATATCAACTACTGACCGGTACATATAAAACTACCGTATTATTGTTCTACCGTATTTGACAGTGGTCACCTCAGGTCCACGTGGTGCAAAAAGGCTTCGAATTTTTTATTGTTAATCATTACTGTTCGAGTCCATTCTAACGGGGAAGGTGAGCAAAAATGCATTACCAATTAGCTAGAATAACCTCAGTTGCCCACCTGAGTAAGCAGCTCTTAACTTAAAAGAGGGCATGGTATGGAGTCTCAAACCATAAATGACTGATGCAAGATTACACTAAAGGAACGGTTGTCTTTTGACAGGCCTACTAGAAATCTGAAAAACTGCCCCAGACGTCGAGGAGAGCTTGTTCACAAAATTACAGACCATATGTAGAATTATGTCCAGATTGTAGTGGTTAACGGCCCTATGGAGTCTGTAGTGAACTGAACAAATTACTGATGTAAGCCAGATAAAAAGTCCTTGTAGCCGAGTTCCATCAAGATCATTCCAACTTTTATGCACGCTACACTAAACGCTTAGTTGCATTCTCTCAGTTTGCACTTTGCTCCAGGTGGTTTTAGAAAAATAATTTGTCAACAATTACTGATTTTTCAACTCTGGTAACTGCCAGCTCCACTGTGATAAATAACACAGTTGCGCTGATAGAACGGCACGCCCCCCCCCCCCCGATTTCCCC